TGTTACTATTCTTTGTTCACGATTAAGCTGACGTTTCGGCGGATTTCGCCTTCTTCAGAGCCGCTTTCTATGAGGTTTCTATACGAAGAAAATACACATAACAGAAATACCTGAAGCTTTTTAAACGACTGTCATTGGTTTCATTTTAACTAGTCACAGAGAGCAGAAAGACACATGGGCTCGATCAGACGCCCAGGTCCAACAAGCCCTCCATCCCCGTTGGGTTTGCGAATTGGTATCAGACTTATCTGCGAGGATAGCAGCACTGTGTCGATACACTATATCATTGTAAAGGCCAGATATCCATTCAATCAGCTCTAATGGTGCTTGATGAACTCTGATGCATGGCGCGTCCCCCAGTGATTGGTCAACCCCAAGAGCTTTTTTAATCAGTACCAGTGCTAAGAGATTCTATGGTTTACCTGTAGCACCTGTATCACTTGTAGTTCCGGTGATCGTCGAGTGACTCGAGTGGGCACCAGTAGATCTTCCATTTTTCCCTGTCGCGTACAAGAGTAGCTCAGCGGGTGCTGCTCGCTCAGCAGTCTCGTCGAGCATCATGTCTTTCTTCAAAGTTCTTTGCGAAGAACTCTGACCATCGGGTCAGTGGTCTTCCTGAAGTGCGTTTGACACCCCGAGGAATCAGGTCATTAACGGCTTTTGTCCATCGGTTATCATTCATACGCATTACGTGTCCAGCCCACCTTATTTTCCACTGTTTGGTGTACAGAATGGCATCTTTGATTTTCGATAGTTGACGCAGGTCGGAGCTTCGGATCCCATCCCTTAATTGTGTGAAACGCCTAGCATCGTCCTTTCGACTGCGCGTTCGATAACGCTGAGTGGCCTTCCATCCTGCTTACGCAACGACAGTTTTCTGACGCATACGTTAGGGCAGGAAGTACCGTTGATTCGAAAAGGTGGGCACGGAGTCGGGTGTTCTTTGCTATCTTCACTACATCCTCGATGCTCTTCAAAGCTCTCCAAGCCGCTCGTCTCCTTTTGCTCAGCTCTGGAGCTAAGTCGTTCATCATATTGATTTCCCGATCTAGATAGATATAACTGGAGCATCCGCCCTGTTGTGCGTGAATGAGGCATACGAAACCAATCCGTTCTTCATGAACATCGTTTTTGTGAGATTTGCCAAAGACCAATCTTTCCACAGGCTTTATCAAAGTCGTCAGGCATATGTTCCGCTTGGTTAATGTTTGGTATTATAAGGACGATGTCATCAGCAAAACGAAGATGATGTCACTGCCGACCATCGATTTTCACTCCCATGTTGTTCCATTTCAATGTCCGCATGACGTTCTCGAGGATGGCGGTGAATAATTTTGGGGAGATGGTATCGCCTTGCGTAACCCCTCTTTTGACGTCGATGTTAATAAAGTTGCAGAATGTTGATATCTTGGTTGTAAGATTCTTGTAAAGCTCACGAAGAATCTTTATATGTTGAGTGAGATCCCTCACTATCAAGGGATTCCATGATTGTTTCTACATAAACTGAGTCAAAATCTTGCTCTAAATCGATGAAAGTGAGATAGAGCGGTCTATTACACTGTCGCGATAATTCAGTGAACCTTGTTATGGTGTGGATGTGGTCCATCATAATGAATCCTTCTCGAAACCCTGTTTGCTCACATGGTTCTCCATTGCCCAGCGTTCTGTCAATCCTGTTTAGGATGACTCGAGTGAAAGGTTTGTAGACGGAAGACAAGAAGACAGGACGGCAGTTCCCTATATCGTGGAGGTCCCCCTTCTTAAATAATAGCACAGTCTTTCTGGTTTTCCATTGAGTAGGGACCTTTCATTCAGACAGGTCTAGTGTGAAGAGCCGAGCCAGTGTGTTTATGAGTGCTGGAGCAAAGTTCTTCAGGTGTTCAGATCTTATCCTGCCCGGACCTGCTGCTTTTCGATTTTTCACCAATGAAATGGCATGTCGGATTTTGGAAGGGAGAACTTGTGGTACAGCATATCCATCGTCCCTTCTTTCATGGAAGGAGGACGTGGATATTGAATAGATCTGAGCAGTATTTGTGAATGCTTTCCCCCATTGCCTTTCTGGACACCGTAACTGTTCCGTCAGGGCGTTGGTTCGGACGTTAGTTCGAGTTTACCTGCAGCTCATGCGATTCCGTATTAGCTCGAGTGTTTCTCGAGATAGACGTCTCTTGATGGCCTTCGAGCTCTCAGGTTTCATAGCGCTAGCGTGAAGATGTTGAATGAGCCGATCGCATTCTTCGTCAATGTTATCGACAACGACATCTTCCCAACTGCCAACTAATGAATGGAATAAATCCCAGTTTGCGGTGGTTCTGGGACTTCGGCTTGGGAATTTAGCGGCTTTTTCTCCTTTCCGCGAGAAATAGAATCTTGCACGAAGGAGACAATGGTCTAGTCCCGTATAGAATCTTGGGATAACAGCAACATCGGTTAGGCAAAACTTTCTATTTACTATGATGCGGTCTATTTCGTTATGGTACTCTCCATTGGGCGACTCCCACGTATAGCGCTGAGGATGGGCTTCTGGAATTGGGAGTTACCATGGGTTGTCTTGGTCGCCATGATAAACTCAGACAGCTGCTTGCCCTGTTCGTTCCATTCTAATCCGTGGGTCCCAATATGACGTTCTTCAGACGTTCTCGTTGTTCCAACCTTAGCGTTAAAATCTCCAATGATAACGTTGAAGAATGTATGGTCTTCTCTGTAGAACTTTTCCAAGTCCATATAGAACGAATTCTACAGCTCAGCTGAAATAATTCAAATGCTCTGCTTTTCTTTAACGAGTGTAGCAACTGGTTTAGTGATGGCTCAGTTCCAATACCTTTCGAGATTTTTAAAAATTTTTCGCAATGATGCGGCACAAGTGGTGCAGTATTTAAAATAGTCAGTTGATCCAAAAATAATATATTACAGTTACTATCTTAACCTTTTTATTTACTGCCTATTCTTTTTAACGGCAGGGTATTTGTGAATTATAACCATTATAATGTTGCGATATTTGCAAAATTGTGGACCGCAGGTGTCCGTGGTAGGGAACAAACGCGCTATTGTCTTTTGCTGGGAGTAACACGTTCACCACCACACCATTTGGGTCCTTCGTTCCGTCTGTCTCTCAGCTAGTTCTATCGATCTTTTGCCGCCTGAGAGACAGGCGAAACGAAGGACCCGCATGGTGTGGTGGTGAACGTGTTACTCCCAGCAAAAGACAATAGCGCGTTCGTTCCCCACCACAGACACCTGCGGTTCGGAGTTTTGCAAAAAAATTCAGCATTATAATTACAGTTACTGTTTTGTTTTATTGAGAGCTAATTCTTGGAGAATGTAGACGACTCTCTTCTATAATCATCACAACAAGGAATCTTTATTTAGACTTATGATCTCTGCACGCTAACGGTGGCATTCTTCATTAAGGACCTAACTGTGGAAGCGCGAAAGACTACCAACAACGTTGATATGGGATTACAGCCCGGCCGAGAGATTGAACCAACGACCACGTGTGTTTTGCAGGGAACCTGTAACCACTATGCCACGTATGCTGCGACGTTATTTTTATAGCAAAAAGTATAAAAGAGAAAGAGTTCGATTTTGACTAATCCCTCAAGGAATCAACGCGCGCTGTATTTGACTGCATTAATTGCAATACAGACCTGATTCATGAATTTGTCGTTTTCTCTCTCATCAATCGCGAGGTTGTTAAGCCGAATACGTTTACTTCCATACAATAACACACATTCAACACAATCGTAGCTGACGTTTCGACGACGGGTCTTCAACCATATGCGACTCTGAGCGGCTGTTCTTCCTCGGTGGAAGACAGGTGAAAAAACGGCTCTGAAGAAGGCGATTCCGCCGAAAGGTCAGCTATGACTGTGTTGTGTGTGCGTTATTGTATGGAAGTAAACGTATGCTATTTAACAACCTCGCGATTGCTGAGAGAGAAAACGACGAATTCATAATTCAATGCCGAGGTTAATAAAAAGTCGACCCTGGGTACTATTAGAAGCAGACCTGATTGTTGTGCATGTTTGGTGCATACAATGGCTTTGAGACGGCCTGCAGATGTATCGATTACCTTTATCCTGCTAGAGAGGTCTGGTACCAAACTGTCCACAGCTAAGATAGCTGTATGATGTATGATGTATAGATAGATGTACGCTAAAACATTAGAGATCAAAAAGATGACATAGACCAAAAGCTTCCAGCAGCACCAGAACGCATCTGAATCTGGAAACTTTCATGGATGACGAATGCGGGTTGAAGAGCTGAATGTAAGAAATGGGATCCATACTACACGTGATATCGGGCGGCGTAAACAAAAAGTACAGGTTTGGAGAATGTCCTCAGTAGAGGCCCAACTTCACTGCACGAACAACCCGATAATTAGTCAGTCTATCTTGACATCCAGTCACCTATGATTTTCTAGAATTTCAGAACCGACCCACTCAATCGGATCCCACTACCACTGAGCATCGTAGTGATTATTTCAGAGAACTCACCTGACAATTATTTATGCGCTATATCTCCGGTATAAAAGGAAGCATCTGGACTTCGTTGTTGGTTTCTCGAAAGAAAACCACCACCTTGACTTGGTCAGAAAACATATCGAAGTTAATGACCAATTTTTCCGTCACCTTAGAAATTTTACACGAACTTAGTAGGTACCGCGTATAAACTATTCCGCTTCCAGTGCTAAGTTCGCACTGTTTTGCAAAATACGTTTATTCTATCTTCAGCACTTTGTTATGTGCATAAATATAACATAGAAGTGAAAGACTAATCAGAACAATAAGAGAAGTAGCAATAGAATGACATAACAAAATATAAAGTGAGATATACACTAAATGGTACGAAGAAGGTGAAATCATAGCAAATGACGAACTTGAAAAAAAAAGATGAAATGTCACGCTTCCACATAATGGCGAACTTACAAGAAAAACTGATGAAAATGAAACTGAAGAAACCAAAATGTCTGATGCACTACACGTCTCCACAGCAGTTCAAAAACTTGACATCAACTGCGGTTCTTCATTTACACCACGATCAGATTTCTTGGTGGTTCCACAAATTCTCGGAAGATCATCCACATCGCTTCGTGCCTACAAATGAACACGTACCTCTCACGATTTCACGGTAAACGGAAATGAGCCCAATAAACGAAAACATAAATAATCCAAAATACCGACGTTCTATAAACCTCGACATAAATAGTTGATATATTTATTTAAATGTTCTTATGAACAGATCTTGTTGAGCTGTTGCGAGGTTGCTATAAGCTGTCATTGTCGTTGTCGCTGTTGTTAGTGTTGTTGGTCGATGGTTGACTTTTCGGCAATTTTGCCTTCCTCAAAGCCTAAACGCATTTTATGTAACAGTAGTCTTATATTCGCTCACTATCACATGTGATCCGGCGTCTCATTTCAAAATGGTTCCTTCAGTCTAGCTCGCCATCCCACGTGAACAACTCGTGTGCAGTTCCACTCGTAACAGCATGGTGAGTAGTATTTTTGATCACTATGGCGTTGATTTAAAAGTTTGATATTCATTAATACTATAGATATTTAATCGAATATAAGGCTACTATTACATAAAATACATCCAGCCTCTGAGGAAGGCGAAATCACCGGAAGGTCTGCCATCGACCAACGACACCAACAACAACGACCATGAAAACTTCTCCCAACCTCGCATCAGATCAACAAGACCAATTCATAAGAATATTTAAATGAAAACGTTGAATAACAACGAAAGAACCAACGTCAAATAACAGTATAAAAGGACTCCGACTGTCAACCAATAAAGTTAATTGGAAATAAAATATGATTTCTGGAGAGGAAAGCGTACCCAAGTAATGAACATTTATTCTTCCATTGATAAGCTTAAACGATATTGATAAATAACGCTTAATCGGCAAACATTTCGATGTCTTCGCCTTTATCAAAACCTACAGTCCAAGTAGACTTCATATCGTGTTGGATCTTCCTCAGTGGAGCATCTTCAAGCTGCCTACATGGAATTGTCCATCGACCTCGTGTAAGCTTATCAATCAAAGAGTATATGTTTACTCGGTTTTGTCCTGAACTCCTCGAATTCTCCGGTTATAAAATGTTATTATCTGCAATTCAAAACAAAAACATCGTTCCACATATGCCGACATGTTAACACAAACGGTCCATGAAGCGATTTCTTGTCTGAGATGTATTGACGGCACATCAAGTGATAGAAACTCATTTCGCGCATAGATGGGGCATAGCATACGTATCTATTTCTTGTCGAATTGAAAGATAAGAGGATAAAGGAGGATGAAATGTTCGGCACTGATCAACTCTTTCGTGATACGCTAACAACTCCACTTCATCAAACATCTTTATAGGTGCTTGAATGCATATCTTGGTTGTAGAATAACTTACGGTAGCCTATCGATGGATCAAACTGGTATTTTTATCCTGCCAGACATATATGGTACCAATGAACTGAATCCGAAAGAATGCAAAGTTTTCCTAGATCTAAGCAAAATTACATAAAGCGGGCATTTCAAAGCATTTCTAACGTATGCGACCAGAAATGATAGGAGGTGAAAGAAGAAGAAAGAACTATATGCCATGCAAACCTGTTCTGGCGTCCTTCCAGATGTTTCTGGTAGCCAGTAGTAACATATTGCCACTGTTATGACACATGGTGCGAAAAAAAGCAGAAAATAGGAGAGTGGTCCACCCAATAAAGCACGGAATGGGAAATAGACAGCAATCAATGCAGAACGACTGAAACTGAATTTCTCAAAAATGTATAATAACAGCACTTTAGGAATTTCAATATTTTAAATGTTTGGAACAACCTAACACAGTTCGCTCAGAAATTTCGATCATCGCAATAAATATAAATTTTAGTAAGCTCAAAAGTTTAAGATTTTCATACAAACTGGACTGAATGGAATTATAAAGATACCTGCCAAAAAATGGGTAGCGAAACAACGATGTTTTAACTACAACGATAGTGAGATATGAGCAAACTCTGAACCCCGAGTTTGCTTCGAAACTGCGATTACCCATTCCCAGAGCTTACGTATCATCCAATGCACAACGAAGTCTTTGCTTTGCCTTTCTTTTAGGCAATTTTTTAACCTAACGGTGCTATAAGCAATCACCCATCAACGGGAATGATGTGGGAAGCACAAATTGGCAATGAACTCATTTAAGCTGAAACTGCAGTGGAAGTCACAATTTTCAACTTTTATTTACTGCCTATCAACTTTTTTTTGAAGGGTATTATGTGAAATACAAATGCAACGACGCTGAGATATGGATAACACATGGGCCCTTGAAAAAGGTAATCGCGGTTTCGAAGCTAACTTGGTGTTCCGAGTTTTGCTCACATCTCACTATAGCACCTTGACATGAAAAAATAGACAGTAAATGAAAGTTAAACGATATTTCAACTTTTCCAATTTTTCCCATGCTCCTACATCTTTCATATTTTTGGTTTTTAGAAACCGATTTCTTTCACCCACACTCCATTCAATATGATGTTCACCCAAGTGTAGGCGGCGGCACGAGCTCTATGTCCGACGAGTTCACCGGGAACAAGAAAGCAAACCGGACCAGGTCCGGTGGCGAACACCAGATTGAAAATAGAAATCGCAACTACCACACACCAGCCGATCCACGTCTCCTGAATAAGGCTCAGAAGCGCTACTAAAGGAAACTTTGGCACTTCACAAAAATGGAGAAGCGGTGTCGTTCAATCAGCAAATCTCTTCTTATTTTAAATTAACGTCACCGTAATGATACCAAGAGCAATATCGAATAACGCAACTGAAAGTATAATTTAAAAAAAGTCTGATCCTATAAGTCATCATTTGTTACTTTCTAGAAGTGTCCAATTCATACCGATGTCCATTCAAACAAATACATAAGTCCGGATAAGACAGTGTTCACAATAGCTATTGCTGAAAAGGTCGAGAGCAAAAGCGGTCTGCGTCCCAGTCTTTCCACCAGATTACCAGATAGAACCGCGCCAGCCTGCAAATCTCAACAGCTCTTACCATTAAAAAGAACTGCATTTCTCTACGAGAAGCGGCCTATTGCGATAGTTTAAACTAGTCCAGGAGCTTTTTATGCTGACGTTATGCCATGTCTCTTCCTTTTTTCTATGTTACAAACAAAATCATGGCAAAAAAAGTAGCAAAAGACGATCATTGGTTAAACGGGGTTGAAGTCACTTAAAAATAGTGTCTAATTTGGTGGATTCCGCAGATATCGTCCAGAGAATGTTTGAAGGTAAGATTACATTCTATAGCAACACCGATTTAACCATCGAGAATGAAAATCGTTTCCCAAAGTTGTCAATCAGAAATCGTCACATGCACTCAGGGATAATCATATATATACAAACGTCCGATGCTCTGACGACCGTTAGCGATTGGGATGCAAGCGACAGGCACAATTCTTACGGGTTGCCTTTAAACGACAAAACCATGAACCTCTTGCTTTATTTGGTGTTCAAAATGACATGGAAATGTATTGTTCGAAACAACTAAAACAATAAATTACTCTGATCTCGTGCTGACTCGGGGAAAGAATCTATGTGCTTACCAATGCCATCAAACAGATAACAATATTAGCAAGCGACGCCTGAAGACCATTCAATCCCACATTAAGCAAGATTTCGAAGGCGAATGCGTTAACCACTGAAATAAAAGAACGATTGCAATTAGAAAAAATGGAAATAAAAAAGCCACAAAATAGTCGTAGATAGTTATGATTACTCCTATTTTAAGCCGTAACACCAATTCTTTCCATCGTGTCTTTCACTACTCATTTTCAAGACAGAGTTCGTTTCCGTGTTAGTCAGACATTGCATGTTTAAAAACTACGCAGTATGACCTCTATAAAATGCATAAGTAGAATGCGATGTACATAGCATAACCTCTATACAGGTCATATTATTTCCAGTGGTATTAATTTGGCGCGCTAAACGGGTTTTATGTACAATTTATTCGATAGTTACCAAGTACACATGTTGTAGCGGCTGTCGTTTATGGAAAGGTGTTATCTACACTAAACACTTATTTAGTTGGATACTTGGATGGCATGACTTCACTGGTTTTACGGGCTCCAGCATGATTTCCACTTTTTCGGAGTCTTGCAAGTTTAGTCATTGTGGTTCCCTAGAGTCCTCAGGTCATCCTAGCCAAAGTCTGCTCCAGATATTCCCCACCACAGAGAGCCGCCGCCTTGTGGATAGGAGGGAAATCTGCCACCAAGCCAATAGTTTGATACTAGAACAGTGGTGGATCCTAGTATTGCCTTTTTCTTAGCTGTGGTTCCTGATGGAAACGCTGGACTCCTTTTCAACTTGGGAGAACTTGTTCGGGAGATGAATCGCTCCGCTATACGTCGCAGCAGGACCCCCAGGAACATCTCGCGACCACGCTGGGTGGTAAACCGTTGAGAGGCTACACTAAATAATTTACAAAAAGCCTTTTCTATGAATTGACTAACTAGTAATTCTACTTGTAATAGAGTACTATTTCAATTCAAATCGCTGCAATGGATCACGGTGGTCAGATGGAATTAGCGGGTACAAGAGATCCAGAAATACACTAAACATAAGCTGCAAAACTTCCAAATGTTGACAGCACTGCCGTTACAAAATGGAGGATAATAATACGTAACAAGTACCAACACACATACCATGCATATCCCTAAAGCGATACAACAATATCTCTTCTATCCATCTGACCTGTTCTCAATCCCTCAATTAAAACGCTGCTTAAGAAGGATGGGTTTAGAGAAATCGGTAAACGTAGTTGAAATACCACCGAGTAATCTTAGGCGCCAGCTAGTTCGTAACCGCCTATATGACCGTCTATGCCCAACTCAAAATTGCATAACTTACCCCAGTGGTTGAGACGGTGATTGCATGAGCTCGGGTATGGTTTACCTGATCTCCTGCAAGACGTGCGGAGACGAATACATTGGCGAAACGGACAGACCCCTCTGTGTCCGCATAAAAGAACACCTAGCCGGCAAACATAGACCAAATACCCCGCTAGGCACGCATAGGACCCAGAGACATAAACGGGGAGGGCTTTGAAGTTCGTGTCACAATCCTCGCACAAGAATCGTGAACACAAGCGCGCAAAACTCTCGAGGCGTTCTGGATGAATTCCAGAAATCCGAAAATGAACCGCGGGGAAGAACGCCTCATTATCACGCGTGATATAGGGCAGTATATAAGACTGTTATTCTGATGGGAGAGGCACATTATGCTTCCATGTGATTTCTGTGCGGTTGGTCTTCACGCGACATACTTAGTGAAAACCTCATAGAAAGCGGTGAGTGTGCAAAGCTGTGTTTAATGTGATTGAAATTTTGGTTTGGCGTTTTCTGTGTTTGGTCGGGTAGATTGCTGTCAACTTGACCTTTCCAGGCTCTGAGGAAGGCGAAATCCGCCGAAACGTCAGTTTATTCGTGAATAAAGAATAATAACACCTCGCGTTTGCTCAACAAAATGCGAAGAATTACTTGATCAATGCCGAGGTTAATAGAAAGTCGGTCGTGGGAGTTATGTCAGATACCTCTAGCTTTTAGACTAATTCTGGGATTTCACCTTGCTTACCCACTGAGAAGTTGAAGACACATGCATTTCTTCTAGAGAAAAAAACACTGCACCTGCAATACCAGACAGTACCGTACCGCCCATAACAACAGCAGAAACCAAAAATCCACACAGCGACGTCTCGTCCTCAATTGAATATGCTAACCTTTTTACCTGCAGTCTACTATAATTTCTTACGGCAGGATTAGATGTGAAATGCAACAACAATGAGGCTGAAATATTTTCAAAATTAGAACCCTTCGCCAGATCAAACCACAATTACCCTTTCCGGCGCTCGCGTCTTACACACTGCGCCACAGAAACCCCTGCTTTGCCTTTCTCTCAGCTAGTTTTCTACCTAACGGTGCCATCAGCAACCATTTAATTTGCGCTTCCTGAATCAAACCCGCTGATGATTGGATGCTTGCTCATGGCAGTATTAGATAGAAAAATAGGTGGGAGAAAGACAAAGCAAGGTCCTCAGTGGTGCAGTGTGTAACATGCGTGGTTCCATCTGACTTGGGGTCCAAGTTATGCGAATATTTCAGCATCATTAGAAATGATAAATTATCTTTCTTCATGATTTTTCAGATGCACATGTACTACACTTTGTAAAATCTTATTGTAAACTCACTTTGAAGATTTCGAACAGACTGAGCGGTTGATCCCCTTTGCTGACACTCTGAGCATCGGTCAACAGCACTTCGACTTTCGTTTCGGTAGCAGAATGATAGTATACAAATGAGCTCACAGCTTTTCTTGTTTGGTTCCGAGCCAGCAGAAAGCTTAACGGATTGTGTAATTAAACAGACGAATTACTTTCATTAAACTCCAATGGGAAATGACTGCATATTTTAGCAGAACTCTAAATTCACAGACTTAGTGAAAGCCATCTGTCATTCGCTTGATGGCGTATCAAGTAACGTTGACTGTTCTTCCACCCTATCCGCATGAGATAAAGGTTTGCCAAGTCAGGAATAGATCTCGAATAATAGGAAAACAAAGTTGGGCGCTCCTTGTCAGCCTGTTTCTCCATACCTCACAAAGGTAGCTGTCAGGTCCAACCGAAAACTGCCTTCAAACTTATGTACAATTGGATTATCGATGCTTTATGTCAAAACGGTAGCGCAAAACAGCGATTATGTTTCATCGAGTTTCGTTCTTACACTACACCGCTATACTAAATTCTTGCTGCAAATGTCTCCATCGTGCAGTTCAACAAAAAGAAAAAGGAAAAACTTGTAGGCGACAACTATCAGTAAGAATGGGATACGTTTGCCGGTGTATAAAGGATAAAAGGATAAAGCTCTCGTCGTCGATAAATCCCTGACGGACGCGCCATTCATTCGACTTCAATAAGCATTGTTGGAGATGATTGAATGCATATCTGGCCTTTACAATGACTCGCGTGACCTACCAGTGTATCGAGCCACTGTTATTATCCTCCTAGACAAGACTGCTATCAGTTTGCCGACTCTAGAGGGATGGAAGGCCTGGTGAGCCATGGGCGCGGGGATCGATCCCCTGTATGTGTTACACGGCGCCCCCGACCACTGCGCCACACGCGCTCTTGCCGATGCACAGAACGTGATAATTTTAGGAAGTACGCTAAGAAAATTGCCATTTGGTGCTGTCGATTTTGGATTCCAAATCTCGCAAAAGAGATTGTAGGTTTCATCGCTGATGAGCTAGATCTTCGGGCTTTTGAACAAAATGCTATTGAGTGGACATTTTGAACTTTCCTAGAAGTAACAGGGAAAAACGTGGAGCTGGCTATCAAAATGGCCGAAGTTGGAAGTCGTAGATGAGTTTCTTCATTACTCTCTTGGCACCGTTGATGACATCTGTGCGTTTAAGAGTGACTACCTTGCTCGTGCAATAGACGACGCTCTCAAGTTGACAATTTTTTTCGAAACATTATCTTAGTATGTGTCATTAAGACGATCCTTGACAGCCTCTCAGCATGTCCATTCAGTTCGAGTTCGTAAACCTTTCCGCTACGCTCTTTAGACATTCTGCTGGGACCAATTTTGGCACAGAAGATGCCAATTAAGATGGTGTAAAACAGAACATCTCAAAACCCATGTACAACGCTTCAATTCCGGCGTGAAGTTCCCTCGTAAGGACGAAAATCGCAAGACTAGTGGTAAGTTGCATCATTTAAACCATAGTAAATATTCTACTTGCGATGCTAATCATCAAAACGAATTGAACTGCGCAGCTAATTATGTCACAAACCCGTACTTTACTTAGGCTAGATGAAAGGAAAGGAATATTATCGGAAGCTCTGTTGACAGGATGATCTTGGGAGTAAACCGGTCCGCGAGAAAGAGAAAAGGTGAGAATGAAGGAGAAGGTGGAACAGAGAAAAGAACTCACGAAGCAGCACAGAATATCGAATGTTATACTACTGGACTACATGCAAAGATAATATCAATTGTTGGAATAGCAAAGGGTGCATAATATGATGAGCTACTTACATTCATACTTCGATGACCCGCCTTCACTGGTTTAGCGGACTGCAGCATAATCTCCATTGCGGAGTTTTGCCGATTTACCTACCTTGGTTCCCTGAAGTCCCGAGGTCAGCCAGGCCAAAGTCTACCCAAGGTCGTCATCACCACAAGCAGTCGCCGCCCTTGTAGATCAGAGAGAGAGATTTATCACCATGAGACTGGTTTGCTACTAGGATGGTGGTGGATCCTGGCATTGTTTTACTCTTTGCTGGGCTTCCCGATGGAAATGCCGGACTCCTTCTCAGCTTTGGAGACCCTGCCAGGGAGATGAACCTTCCGCTGTACATCGCAGCTCGAAACACAGGAACACCCACCAGTCACGGTGACGCGGTAACCGTTCGGATGTAAAATTATATGTGAAAAAATAAGACAAACCTAGGACTCTCTGGTACGAAGGCTACAAGCACCGTTATGAAGACAGTCAGCCCCAGTTCGAAAGCATAGATGAGCCACCACGATTCAACCGTTCCCCACATCTGAACGTACGAATAAGTTGGACGGTTACAAAATCGTCTTCCACTTAATCTCGCCTTGAATAAGCAATAACTATCTTTGGATTAATCACAATCTTAACCGTTTTATTTACCGCTTACTCTTTTTAATGGCAGGATATATTACGAAATATAACTTCAATGACGCTGAGATTGCTGATGGCAGAAGATCGAATAAAACTAGCTGAGAGACAAGCAAAGCGATGGACCCGCATGGTGTGGTGGTGAACGCGTTACTCCCCGGAAAGGACAATAGTGCGTTCGTTCCCCACCGCATACACCTGCGGTCCGGAGTTTTGCCAATATCTCAGCATCATTGAAGTTATTTTTGGATTGCACAGGTTACATAAGCAAGACGAAGACGTCGAGACGCTGGCCGAATACGAGGTGTAGAATAGCCTCGTGTAAGCAAAACAGTCCAAAGAAATTTAAGGAGTATACGAAAGAGGCGTAATAATCGTCCAAATATTTCGAACCAAAAACTTTATAAAACATTAATTTGAAAAATGAAAATCGAAGATGGGACATAAATTCTTCATCCGCCAATACTCGTTTGTAAACGATTTCTGGTTGAATTACAGGCTCTTCCAATACAGTATGCAACGTACCTCAGGCATTGCGGTAATAGAACCAGCAACGAGCCCCAACTGAATCATGAAACCAGTGGCCATTGAGATCATACCACGGCACGCCGGTGGGCTAAAGCGAATATATACTGTGCAGAAGAGCCAGAGAGATTCTTTGGTAAACAGGACTTTAATTAGATATGCTTAACAAATGAAAAGAATAAACACAATGGAATGGCTTAATAGCACACACTCACAACACTAAACAATCATATGGACTATCATTGAGTTATTTCAGAAGAAACCACCGAACCTGCATTCAATGATGAACATCGGACCGATGCCTAAACTAACACTGATGGCGACTCCCAAAACAAGGCGCGAAATCGAATAGATGATGTAACTCGTGGTCTGAAGTATAGCGTGTATATAAGTCTAGTAAAGAAGCCAATCCATACAACTACGTCAACAGAATTCATTTAGTTACAAGAGCTATGGCAAATTTAATTTGACCAATGCAGTATTATATTAAATAAATTTCAATCCTGGAGAGTTTAGTAAGAGGTTGAGTTCGCGACCAAGTTCAATAATAAACACCCAACCAAGCTATTTGTAAAGAAGCGAATCCAAGCGCACGATATTCACCAAAGATAAATTAGCAATTTGGGAAACAGCAACGTATTAAACGACTACAACATAGGTTGTCAAGTTGTTTCTTTCCCAAAGAATATTAAAGCAAAACGATAACACAAAAAAGACACAATCCACTTGTGAGCACATCGTCCACTACCTGTATAAGTGCTTGTGAGGTAAATCGTACTCACATCCTACTCCTGGAGAATTCAACAGGCTACACAAGAGAATGTTAAGGCCAGAAAGGAATTTCACATAATACAAGGATTTTCGGCTCAAGTTACTCGACAACTACGGAACTGGAGCTATATCCTTACATGGAAACTATTGCTTCATCTTTGAGCTTCGCGTTTCCATTATTTCTGTTATTAGTTAAACTACATCTTACTTACCTGAATACTTGCATAGCACTTATTCCCTGGTTTTCCAAACCCCAGCAAAATTCCCATCTCCGGTGTTTTGCTGGTTTAGCCATTGTGGTTCTCTGGAGTCCCGAGGTCAGCCAAGCCAAAGACTGCCCTAGGTCGTCACCACCACAGGCAGTAGCAGTTTTGCGGTTTTGGCCAGGCTGACCTTTGGACTCCAGGGAAACAATGGCTAAACCAGCGAAACTCCGAAAAATGAGTATCCATGTAAGTATCGCTTTCAAAACGAGATTGAAGAATTGATTATTTAGCGATAAAGATCTCTTCCATATCCTGATCGTATCGAGTGTCAACAATGCTGAAGGGCCGAAAAAGACAGAAACAGATACTAATTACTCACAAAATAGCTAATAACCACGATTAGTAGACTGACGATCTGCACGATGAACATCACAATCACGCCATTTCTTCGTCCGAACCAATCCGCTATCGTTTGAATAAGCAACGAGCCCAGAGTGGCTCCCCAAAAGAACATGGACACAATCACTCCCCAGATAAACTGAAGAATCATAGGACTTCATAAACATCAAACTATTCCAACAAAGCAGATGAAGGAACGACAGATAAAAATCAACTATGAAAGATCTAACCTCAAGCGTTTCTCGATTTTGTTGCACTCCATGAGTTTCCATGTAAGAAATATTGAGGAACTGAATGAATGCTTCTTGAGCAGGATTTGTTATGAGCAGCTGATACCCAAAATTGAAGCCTCCTCCTAAAAACACACCCTTAACTCATATTTATTAACAATATTAAGACATTACAGTAACAGAACTATTTACTGAACACTGTACAGTGTCAATATTTCCACGGACACAGTGACTTAACCGCATGACTAAGATACCTGGCTGTGCCACCTTTTCTGGCTGTGCCACCTTTTCTGGTTGTGCGGGCCCTAGAATAATTTTTACTCTTTTTTTGGAGATTCGCTGGTTTAGCTATTACGGTTCCAGCGATCGCGAGGTCAGCGAAGCCAAAATTTGGTCCTGGTCGTCACAGCTTGCCGCCGTCTTGTGGAACATAAGGAAATTTGTCACCATGCGACTAGTTTGATACCAGGACGCTAGTGGATCCCGGTACTGGTTTACTCTTAGTTGAGCCTCTTGGTGGAAACGCCGGACTCCTCAGTTTGGGAGACCTTGCCGAGAGATGGAACCCCCACTGTACATCGCAACCGGATATCCAGCAACAATTTTTAGCCATAATAAGGCAATAAGCCATTGGGAGGATTTGCAACTTAGTCTACTAAAAAATTCCTTAACTGTATAGCATGTAACTCCCACGACCGACTTTCTATTAACCTCGGCATTGATCAAGTAATTCTTCGTATTTTTGTTGAGCAAACGCGAGGTGTTATTATTCTTTATTCACGAATAAGCTGACGTTTCGGCGGATTTCGCCTTCCTCAGAGATGAAGTCAAATGCATAGCGCATCCTTCAGAGATTAATCAACGCCGAGAGCTTTATCCTTTTACAGCATGTTTTAAAGTCACTGTTCTAATCATTATCACGTCATATCACAAAATAACCTTTGACTCACTGCCTATTAGTCATCTATTTCGCAAAGAACGTGCGACCATAGAATCAAGGCAGCACCCTGGCAAGAAATCCACTCAGTTCTCGATTTGGACAAAACTCTTAGGTACTTTTCCGGGTGTGAGGACAAGCCCGATGTAATGCAACACACAAAATCCATAAAGTCGATCACCAAACTGTTACTTGAAGTCATCATATCTGATATTATAATGTTGGGACCAACTTCAGACCTTAGAGAAAGTAGAAAAACCCAATAAAAAGGAAATGTCTCATTCATCAGCAATCTGATTACAGCAGAAAGTTTGGCAGCTTCAATTCAATTGATCGCAACGAAACACTTTAGCAAAGTATAACACATTTTTAATAAGTATATTGTTCGAGTGGAACTAAGGCCCTTGGTTTGGAGCAAACTTTTGGCCTGGCTGACCACAGGACTCCTGTGAACCATAATGGTTAAGCCAGTAAAAGCCCAAAAATTGGAAATCATGCAAAACCAGTGAACACGGACGATCCAAGCACACAAGTGTTCTTCGAGTAATAAATGGTAGAAGTATCGCTACAATGACATAATCTAGTGTTTTCAAATCATATTGCTATTTTAAAAACTTATATTTATTATACGCCACTGAAAAAAACATTCTCAGCAGGTTATATTGCAGAATACAACTTCTATAATGCTGAGATATTTGCAAAATTTTGGACCGCAGGTAAAGTTAAAATTGTGCTTATAACTACAGCCTCAGCTTAACTGGTTTCGTCATCGATTTGGGCTGGCCAGATCATTCCCGTTGACGGGTGATTGCTGATGGCGAAAGATCGATAGAACTAGCTGAGAGACAGGCGAAACGAAGGACCCGCATGGTGTGGTGGTGAACGCGTTACTCCCCAGAAAGTACAATAGCGAGTTCGTTCTCCACCGCATACACTTACGGTCAGGAGTTTTGCAAATATCTCAGTAACATTGAAATTATACTTAGAAAGTCCCGCCAACTACTATAAGCGAATGGACTGCTTCAGGTTCCTTAAATCGATTGCTTTACTCACCGAACTAAACCTAGCAACCACAACGATGCTGAGATATTCGCAAGACTTGGACCTCGGGCCAGATCGAACCATGATCACCCTTTCAAAGGCTCGCCCGTTACACACTACACCACTGAGTCCCTTGCCCTGCGTTTCTATCAGCAAGTTTTCTAGCTAGCGCTACCATCACCAATCACCGGTTAGTGGGAGTGATCCAGGGACCACAAATCGGCATTGAACCCAGTTAAGATGACATTGTGAAGCCTAGCAATTTGAAATCTTTGAAATGAACTGTAGAACCTTTCAGCAAATGCATTAATACGCATAAAAATAAAAGCAACAAGAAAAATAAAACTTAATGTACCCAGGGAAACCAATAAGGCCGTTGTTGCCAGGTTCCAAGACGGCCATCGAGATATGGATACGGCCTCGGTTGCTGTCTTGTTAGTAGACAGCGGTTCCGGTGACATTTCATCTCTGTATTAAGGCAAGATTGGATCAATGAAAGCAATCAATATAATAGACAATTCTGTCCATCTGTAGCCATAACGCTGAAAGAGATAAGGTAACCCGTTATCAACCCTGCGAAGGACAAGTGGCAACGAAAAAATGAAAAACAGTTGAAATGAGTAATCAACCACCATATGAGCAAAATGACAGGATAGAAAGTAACCCACCTTTCCATCGTTGACAAACTTTTCATTGGTCCACAAAGGCCAACATCACGGAGAAATGTTGAACGTCCAGAGAGGAGGAACGACGGTCAATGTAAGGATTGGGCGGGCGAGAGCTGTGCCGACGAGCACCGAGCCATCTCGGATCGATGTAGTCAAACAAGCTCAGTCCTGTAGTCATCAAGGATAACTCCGAAGTGAAAATGCATAATGTCAACGTACCTTGCTATTACATTGAACTGACACAAAAATCCTAAATAATTGATCGGTTCGCTTCCGTATACAATGAATAGATCAGGATTTGGAATGATGAAAGGATGAAAAGATGAAAGACGGATGAACTAAACTATACAACAGTGCCATACCATAGTTCTGTAGGAAAGGTAGTGACGAAATCAACCCGAAATCTCTTCAAAACAAGTACAGCGTTTCACAACAGCATGAACTGCAGGTTTATTGATCCCTACAGGATGATTTATTGATCCCTACAAAATGATCGTTAGACGATGATGATTGATGTTGACGATGCGCCTGTAGTTTTTTCCCTTTAAACGTTTTCAGATCTTGTGAATTGTCCACCGGTTATGTTCTTCTGATTTCTTATCAAGTCTTAGTGATTCATAGTGGAAACGTTCATCGGAAACTTCGACAGAGCGCTCTTATAACTCAGCTCATTCGCCAGAGCCTGTCTATTCGGGCTTTGCCGATCAATTCCTATGGATTTGATTAACGACTGACTAATTGATGGTGGAAAATGAACCCATCATGGACATTGATGTCCTTTCTTTGCTAACATCAATAAGAAAATTCTGTTCTATGAATGGAATGAGATGCGGGAAGTAGAAACTCTCGAAAAGTGCTAAGCTTCTCAAACCTTCCCCATAAGCGGTACTGTTTCGAGTATGGATTGATTAGTGTATGACAGATCTGATAACGATTTCTAGTCCATTTTCAAATCCTTGGAAATCTAGTTTCATTTTAAAAAAAGTGTGTTCTCCACGACTACCGGTGGAAGGTCGAAGAGTCCGAAGTACAAAACTCCGCTTCTTTTTCATAGCGGCCTGGCCTTTACTTCATCTAAGGGAATATTTCAAGCACAGTTTGATAGAAGAGACTTTTTTGATTAAGCTATCTTTAACTTTCTCGAAAAAAAAACTTGCCTATCTCAACGATATTTTTGAAATTTTGAGTTTGAGTGAAGACAAGTTTTATATTACCGCCTAAAATCCTGTTCCCGCCTAATCCTTTGAATGTGGGCGTTGATCAGTCGCGTATAATCAATACCGCAAGCAGAGAATTTCAACGAGGAAGTGTTGTATTTTCAGAAATTGAAGAGATCCAAAGAAGAAAAAAGGAAAAACTACGGAAATAGTGGCTGTCCATAGTTGTTCCGTTTTCGTACGCACTTTGTTCAGTGGTTTTGGCGACTTTTGAAAACGAAAACGAACAAGATCGACTCCGAAAGTCCTCGATTCCTTCGATTATCCAGCTTACACGAGATCGTCAAACAACTTTTATTCCGCCATCGTCTCGATGTCTTCGTCTTCTCCAGAGCCGATGACCCGAGTTGATAGTCCCCAGTCTCTCGTTAGTCAACGTTAGCCGAATAAATGTTATATAACAATCATATGTAAGCCGAACAGTATAAAGATATGTATTGACTGTTCACATTGAGGTTACTCGAAAGCCGATTTAATGACGCCCTCGTTTTTTCAGTGGTCAAAGTCAGAGAGCAGCCGATGACTAAAGTAACATTGGAAATGTCATTGTCGAGATTGTCACGAAGATAATTCATTCTCTCATCAACATCCGACCAGATGATGAACTTAGAATCGTCTCGAGAAAACGGCAGATTTGATAGGCTTTGATAGATGCTCATCCTACTATTGTATAGAATGAACAGGTGCACCTGTTTTAGAACGTCTCCAGCTTTATGAAGCGCATAAGTTCTCTTCTATTTGTGATTAAATCTATCCAAAGAATTCCGTTTAGCTTAAGGATTACAGCGAAAGGATACACGCTGAAAGTGTTCCTATGTGTGGAAGCAACAATGTTTCCTATAAGGAAATTTCTGCACACATCCAGAGCGCGTGTGGCGCAGTGGTTGGAGACGCCACTTTGACACACGTGGAATCGATCTCCGAGGCCATGGCCCAACAAGCCTTCTATCCCTTTGGGGTCGGCGGTCGGCAAATTGGTACCAGACACTTCTGGGAGAATAGCAGCGCTGGCTCGAAACAGCGATAGAAAACCGCGAGTCATTGTAAAGGCTAGATATGCATTCAATCAGCTCCAAACGATGCTTAATGAAGTCGAATAAATTGTGCATCCCTCAGAGATTGATCAACACCGAAAGCCGACCATCGATTTTCACACCCATATGATCCCATCCCAATAATACTCGCATGACGTTCTGGAGGGTGTCGGTAAATTCCTATATTCTTTTCACATCCGGAGGATTAAAGTCAATAGCACCGTCTCTTCCAGTCCCTGAGGTGAAGCATTACATTGTGACCCTTAAGCTCACTGAGCCTCTAGGCCATATAGTCCGTCATCTTGCAGAGCGTTAACAAGAGCTTAACAATTTAAATTATAAGATCCGGTTTGTGAAGCAGAAATGCTTTTGATACTGCGGTTAAGCCTTCGATCACCTGTATCACCTGTAGTTCCGTCGAACGTTGAGTGACTCGAGCGGGCGCCATTAAATCTTCCATTTTTCCCTGTCGCGTACAAGAGTAGCCCAGCGGTTGCTGCTCGCTCAGCAGTCTCGTCGAGCACCATATCTTTCTTCAAAGCTCTTTGTGAAGACCTCTGACCATCGGGTCGGTGGCATTGCTGCACTACGTTTGACATCCCGAGGAATCCAGTCACTAACGGCTCTTGTCCATCGGTTGTCATTCGTACGGATAACGTATCCGGCCCACCTTATCTCCATCTGTTTGGCGTACAGAACAGCATCTTTGATTTTTGATCGTTGACGCAGATCGGAGCTTCGGATCCCACCACTTACTTGTGTGAAACGGGATACGCCTAGCATCGTCCTTTCGACTGCGGGTTCGATAACGCTGAGTGACCCGTTCATCCTGCTTACGCAGCGACCGAGTTTCTGACACATACGTTAAGGCAGGAAGTACCGTTGAGTCTAAAAGGTGGGCACGGAGTTGGGTGTTGTTTGTTCTCTTCACTACATCCTCGATGCTCTTGAAAGCTTCTCAAGCCTCTCGTTTTCTTCTGCTCAGCTGTGGAGCTAGGTCGTCCATCATATTGATTTCCAGACCTAGATAGATATAACCGGAGCATTCAGAGGTATTCGTTCCGTTGAGCGTTAATGGAGCATGCGAAACCAATCCGGTGTCTTTCCACAGGCTTTATCAAAGCCGTCAAGCATACGTTCCGCTTGGCTAATGTTTGGTGTTATAAGGACGATGTCATCAGCAAAGTTAAGATGGTGTAACTGCGGACCATCGATTTTCACACCTAAATGATCCCATCCCAATAATACTCTCATGACGTTCTGGAGGGTGGCGGTAAATAATTTTGGCGAGATGGTATCGCCTTGCCTAACCCTTCTTCTAATGTCGATATTAACATCGTTGTAGAATGGTGATATCTTGGTTGTGGAGTTTTTCTACAGTTCACGAAGAATCTTTATGTACTGAGTGGGGACTCCTTGACCATCAAGGGCTTCCCAGACTGCTTCCATCTCAACTTAACCAAAGTCCTTCTGTAAATCGATGAAAGTGAGATAGATCGGTCTTTCGAACTCTCGCGATACTTCAATGAGCCGTGTTACCGTGTTCATGTGGTCCATCTTACTGAATCCTCTTCGAGACCCTGCTTGCTCACAAGGCTGTCCTTCGTCTAGTGTTCTGTTAATCCTGTTTAGGATGACTGGAGTGAAAAGTTTGTAGACGACAGACAGCAGATTGGTCGATAGTTGCCGATATCGTGCAGGTCACACTTCTTGAACAATAACACGGTCTTGGCGGTCTTTCACTAAGTAGGGGCCCTGTATTCAGACAGGTAACATGTGAAGAGCTGAGCAAGTGTGTTTACGAGGACTGGCGGAAGGTTCTTCAGGTGTTCTGGTCTTATCCTGTCCGGACCTGGTGTTGTTCTATTTTTCATCGACGAAATGGCATGTCGGATTTCGGAAGGGAGAACCGGTGTTACAACATATCCATCCTCCTTTATTTCATATGACGGAATGTGGACGTGGCTATCGAAGAGATCCGAGTAGTATTCGTGAATGATTTTCTCCATTGCCTTTCTGGAAGCTGTAACTGTTCCATCTGGGCGCCGGAGTGCAATCATTTTTGTTTTGTAATTGCCGAAGCTTCGGTGGGCTTTGCGAATAATTTTCCCAGCCTCTGCAGCTTCGACCGTTACTTCTGCTCTTTCCTCTTTAAGATCTTCTTTTATCGCCTGCCTGCATTGTTTCGCAAGTTCGGACGTTAGTTCGCGGTTGCCTGCAGCTGGTGCGATTCCGCCCTGGTGTATCAGCTCGAGTGTTTCTGGAGGCAGACGTCTCTTGGTGACTTTCGAATCCCCAGCTTTCGTAGCACTAACGTGAAGATGTTGAATGAGCCGATCGTATTCTTCGTCGATGTTAACGACAACGGCATCTTCCCACCAGCCGACTAATGAATTGAATAAATCCCAGTTTACGGTGGTTCTGGGATTTCGGTTTTGAAATTTAGCGACTTTTTCTCCTTTCCGCGAGAAATAGAATCCTGCACGAAGGAGACGATGGTCTGATCCCGCGTGTAGTTTTGTGACAACAGCGACATCGGTTAGGCAAAATCTTCTGTTTATTACGATGTGGTCTATTTCGCTATGGTACTCTCCATTGGGCGACTCCCACGTGCAGCGCTGAGGGTGGGGTTTCTGGAATTGCGAGTTACTATGGATTGTCTTGGTCGCCATGATAAACTCACATAGCCGCTCACCCTGTTCGTCCCATTCTAATCCGTGGGTCTCAATGTGACGTTCTTCAGACGTTCTTCTTGGTCCAATCTTTGCGTTGAAATCTTCAATGATGACCTTGAAGAATGTGTGGTCTTCTCTGCAGAACTTCTTCAAGTCCATATAGAACGCTTTGACTTCTTCTTCGTCATAGTTTCATGTGGGCGCGCAAACGACGAAGATTGTTAGAACCGGAATTGATCCACGTCTTTTTAATCGTAAACCTCCGATTCGGGTTGTAAGTTGTTCGAATGAATCAATGTTCATGGACAAACTCGTGATGACGAGAACGCCGACTCCTCTACTGTCGCATGTTCCGAGGAACAGTTCTTCTCCGGTGTCATTGACGGCGTTGAAAGGCTGGCGTCTTCTCGTCTCGGCCAGGCCGATGACGTAGTACCCCATCCTTCTTGCTTGCATGAGCAAGTCTTCTATCGAAGACTCAGATGCAAGTGTACATGCATTGTAAGTACAGATCGTCACCATAGTTCTTTGAAATCTAGACAGCTTCCATTGGCCCTGAGATTTTAGCAGCCTCTCCGTACTCGTCCCACCAAACGTTGCGAAATTGGGGGTCTTTCAGGGTCAGAGGAATGAGGCCCGTTTTTTTTTTTACTGTGTTAGCATTTTTGATACCCACGTATGGCTTGCTGGGCTCTGAACTGGGGTCAGGGTGTGCTCACGGGTAGCTTGCCAGGTTCTCCCAGAGTGGACATAAAGCTTATTTGTTGGAGGCGACTCCTAACCACCGCCCATATACTTCCCAATCACTTGATTGCAGCCTTTTGACCGAATTGACTCGTAGAATACAATCCGCATAAGCGAGAGCGAACCTACACATGCATGCATGAATACGCCTAGCAAATACAGAAAGTATGTACCAAATCAAGGTAGCAGAAACAGGGAGTCCATCTCCTGGATCCACCTGCGTCTCAGGGAAGCAATGGTCGCTTTTGGTCCGCGATTAACCCCCTATCCGCCACCGCGTAGCCTCGCGGCTAACCGGCTCGAGATCCCTCATATGAGGGAGTTCCGTGGATTCCTTCAATCTGCGATTAATGTTTCCCATACATCAAAAAGCGACCTCCCTTTAACCTTGGAATGTCTGATACGGTGTTTTCATATAGTTTTTCATATTTTATAATTATTTCCTATCTTTTTTGAACGCAAGAAGGAGCTCAGCGTAGCATATCGAATCCAACTGATTTATGTAAATCGACCTCGTAACGATTTTCTGTGACTCAAGTTCTCCTGGTCCTGCAGCACGTAATAACTGCTTATCTTCATGTAAAGGTTATTCCAAGCTGATAAGAAATTCGACATTTCTGTTCGGAAACGCAGCTGGAAGTTAATGTCAATGTCAAAATACGGTTTGACAAAATATTCGCGACCACCTTCTATACAAAAACAGCAAAGGTATAAGGCCATAAAAACCACATCAAAACTTTTAGAGTTTTCTTGTCCCTCGATCAGCAGAACCTATTAGGAACAATGATGATGACTAACGGAATCACTAGTGGTTCGGATGAATTGAGCTTCTAACTTGACATTTATTCTTTAGGTTGAAGACGCTATCCATTAATCGGATGCAAACGCTTTCAACATGCAGAATCGAACTTCCTTTCTTTGTTGCTTTTCATTAAAAATACAATCAGTATTGTAATGATGAAAGTCAAATGCAGTTTAACCGGAAGTGATGGAGTTCAGATCATATTTCGTTGTCGACTGAGATTCTCATTTCACGAGAAGCCGAACGAGCGGCTCATACCTACATCATCACATAGCAGTTTGCGATCATCGCCTTTGAGTATATTCTGAATTTTTTAATTTCTTAAGTGGTGCTCACAGTGTAATCCATGTTATTGCTAATCCTACCAGCACATCTCATTATTTAAGTAGTATAACCTAAATCGG